TCAAGATAAATCTTTTCAGTCAATAGATAAGCTTTATACATTTGAGCTTGACGCTTTGACACTACGTGTACTAAGCTGAAAACCCATATATAATGAAAGAATTAAGTTTTATGAACAAACTTCTTCAAACAACTTTAACAAATATGTTAACAATAAGTCTCAACAAGTCAACACCAATACATCAGAACAGTACCAACCTTCAAATCATCTATAGTCTTTAAATCTTATGGCTTTTCAACTTTAGATTGAAAAGTTAGATACAATTCATCTCATCAACAAATTCTTCAACAATTTACCAGTTAAGCTTCACTTTTGAACATCAACACTAGTCACAAACATCCTTGAACATCATTTCTTCCCACATAATCTTTTCATATTTATGCATCATGTCTTCCTCTTCTCTTCTTGTCTTTGATACGTCTTTGATATTATTATTTTTCCCTCATGATGATTAGAAGAATCATGAACATCATGAATAATCAAAGACTTTAACAAATCAACTTTAGATATTCTCAAACATCCTCAGACAAACTTGATTCCTCCCCCTTAGAAAGATATCTCTATCAGAACAAATTTCTCCCTCTTCAAAATAGATCTTTTCCATTACAAGCAAGCTCTCCCCCTTGAAAATTGGGTAATCGTCTAACGTAGACGCACATTTAGCAACTATTATCACAACAATTAAAATAATTGTGTGGCCTATGTTCAGAGTTGGCATTGATTTGTCTCTGGTAGGACTTTCAGTTATCATTGAAGCAAAGTTATAGAACTAACTTCTTAAAATGTTCTGGAAATATCACAAAGATATGCAATGTGAATTACTAAGACTCATGAATGTGAAAGTTTAAAAGAAAATATTATCATTAAAGCTCAAGATAGACTCAATGTGCATAATTGAAGTGCAAATGTGGGACAAGCATCCTTCTTTTTCAATATCTAAGTTTTCCAAATGAAAACTAGATAGATTGAAAGAAATGATAAGAAAGAAATGAGTAGCTAGTGGGGTTAAATCAAGAGTTGGCATGGTTTACTGCCTGTTTGAAAGAGTAATGTCGTTTCCCAGCTTGAAGTGGTTAGGGCAGAGTTTTTTTTTCTTTTAACTCTCTTCTCTCACCCTCTATTTTTAATAAAAATCCTCACTTCTAACCAAACTCATTTACATTTTCCCGCTCAGCATAATGAGATTTCTCAACCGTATGAGTTAACTCCCCACTCTTTTATTTAAGACCCCTCCTCTAAATCACTCAAGGAATACTTCTTGGGTAGAACTACCGGTTCTGGTAGCTCATTGAAACACAATTAATCTTACACATTGATTTTATGAAATACATTCTAAATATTCAAAGATAATATACTTTGAAAATTTTCAGAAATTAATATCTGAAGACGAGTCCTGAACTGATATGTTAAGAAATCAAAACACTGAAATCCAAGTTCTAGACCAATTTATCTAAAAGTCTAGACATGAAAATCGATTTCCAAACAAAATTGTTTAGAAATAAATGATAGTATATGTTTAGAATAATCAAATAACAAGTATGAACGCTAAAAGAGAACGACTCATTAAGCATGGTGTTTACAAAAAATATTCAATGATTAGAATGTTTAATTGTGAAGAACAAGTCACAATTAATATTTCAGATAGGGATTCAATCATTGAAATGAAATGATGTATTTTGAAACCAAAATAGGATTTCAAACGAGTGTATTTCACCCGAAAATCTCAACGAATATATGAGATGTGGAAATAACAAGGTCAAGAAAAATTTAACACATGGCAATTCAAGGATTGATTTGAAATCATAAAAGAAACTAACACAAGTAAGTTTCTTAGATTAAACTACTATGGTTCTTTTGAAAATTGAAATTCATTCACTTATAAAGTATGGTACTAAGTAGTATAACCCTTTGAATGTACAGTCATGTGATGTGAATATTCTTATAAGGATGTACATGACTTTCCTGGAAAACAGATTATAAAGATTTTGGTACCCAATGTTGACAATTTTGACTTTCTTTATTCATGTTGACTTTCAGTTTGACTCTTTCATTCTTCAATGTAACAGATACAATAATGTTTGACCTAACGAGATTTAGGGTTGAATCTGATAATTAAATGAGAACTAGAACCGCATAATGGTAAAACTACAGAAAGAGAGTAGCTGAGTGCGATAAGAGGCCTATTTGCTGAGAGCGAGGGTGAGAGACTGAGATTGGGATGGAAAAACTCAACAGAGACATTCGAACATGAAAAATCAAAATAACATATTTGGAAAGAAAAGATCAATCCATTTTGCACTATAACTCGAACTTCGTCTACCCAACAAGCTAAATTACTCAACATTCAACCCAAATTGAAGACCTAACCTATTTTAACAATCAAAATTCAAGTAGGGTATGCAATTAGAGATATTCGCACTTGAAAAATCCAAACCCGTCAATCTAATTCATTTGAATTCAGTAGAAGAGAAACCCTTTTTCCAGTATCCACCAAAATTAAAATGGTAATAATAACAACTTTGTTGATTGAAGATTCTAGAAATTAGCAATTGATTGATGATAACCATGACCAACAAAACAACATATGGTCACGAGAAACGCAATGTATACCTTGGGAACACTTAGTGAGGAAACGAGTTATGGTCGAGAACCGGAGAGGCAAATAGGAGAGTGCCAGATCGGAAATTGGAACGGTAACTAAACTTGGTATAACGTATAGAACCTTAGGCCCAGATGCCCTTTGGGCCTCTGCTGCCTTGGGCAATCGCCCATCTTGCCAAGGTCAGCCTGACGGTGACTAACCGATCAAACTTGACCACAAAAGGCGGTCATTTGACCATTTTAGGCAATTTGATTCTGTTATGTTCTTTAAACTAAAAAGAAGCATAACATCTATCTCTAACATTAAACTTCTACAAATAGAACATCATAAAAGATGATATACCAAAATTATACAAGAACCATTTATATTCAATACTTAACGGAAATATTAATTTGATGAAATGAATGACGATTTGGAATTTTGGATTTTGATTGTTGACGGATTTTGATATTTTGTCGATTTAGGGGACACACATAACGCAAAAGTGAAAAGTAAAAAATTAATGTCTCAGATGGAGCATTTTTTTAATTGGACCACAAAAGGTGCACCTACAACATGAAAACTCTATACATTTTTGGTGGATGGTTCAGTCTAAACCTCTAGAAAAAGGTTCAAATCGTTGATCGGACCAGACTGTCCGTTTAGCTACTTTTCAGATCGAACCAAATTGCTAAACCATCATATGCCAACAACGATCTAGTTTGACTTGGTTCGTCTGGTTAGAACAATCCAACGGTTTCTTAAACACCCCTATTTATATGTCTGCTAAATCTTCTTCGATATTTTTCCCTTTTGTAATTTTGTTGAGTTCATTCATCAGACATTTTACTTACATTTACTTTATATAGATAATCATACACTCGAGTGTTTGGTTGTGGTCAATGGTGGTAAAGGGGATGGCGTGATTTCTTCACACGACGTTGATTTTTTTTTTTTTTTTGTTTAATTGGTCTTCTTTTCTTCTATTACATTAAAACAATGAAGCTAGGGTTCCAATTGGGTATATGTAGGTATATAACTTTCAATGAAATTTTAATTACATCTATTATCTTTTTATGAGTGTATAAACATTTTTACCTTTAATTGTTTCAGAAGTTCATGGATTTAATTGAAATACCGTTTAAGATTATATACCTAAATGACTTGTTCTTGAGGAAGAAGAGGTCGGGAGGAAGAAGAAGGGTAGAAAAGACTAGTTTGCCCCCACATAAGGAGCACATGATAGGGTTAATAGTAGTCCTTTTAACGGTGTTAACCTGATGGACCAGAAGTGTTATGAAAATGAAAAGTTAGAGACCATAAGTGTAGATAGTGTGTTTAAGGGATGATACCTAAATTTTGGATGTAATTCATTCTGATTACTATATTATATGATATAATAATTGTGCAATTTTTAACATGTCTTTTTTTAATAATTTTAGGAGGTGTTTGTTTAGAGTTGCTAAGCAATAATCAATATGAATGAAAATAAAAGAAACTATTTTATTTTCTACAATATAATGAGTTCATTCCTACAGAAGCCCAAAATTCATTCCTGATTAAATTTTCATTCTTCAGTCTGAGCCAAACAAACCCTTACATTTATTATCCAACATATCGACTAGTTTTGTCAAACATAATTAGTTTACTAGCTTGCTCTTTCTACTAATAGTTAGTTATCAACTATTTTGTCAAATACATCCTAAATGAGTTTAATATCTTAGCATTGTAATAAATGATAAAAATATTATAATTCATTTGCTTTTACTTTAAATAAGGGGTTGTTTGTTTACCCCTTGATAATTTCATTAAGAGACAGTCTCTGAATCGTTAAGAGGTGAATTTTGTTTGACAAAAAAAAAAAGTCTACCTATTAATGTTTCTAAAACCCTCTGAATTATTTTGTATCATGCTCATGTCTTAACCATTCAACACCCTAATTTCATTGTAACTAATTATCAAACAATTATATTTCATTTTACATTATATCATAAAAGTCGCTTAATCGTTCTGCAACAAATCATTCAACAACTGCAGTATCGGAGATGGTATGTATACATATGAAAGACGTTTTATATAAATTTCCAAATTTTAAAAAGACACCGATTTACTGAAATTAAAGGTGGTAAAATATGGAAAACTTTAATTTGCATTTTTCTTTAATAAAATAATGCAGCCAATGTTGTTGTGGTGTGACTGTCACCACTGACACACCTACAGAAGCAGCCGTTGGATCCACATCCCCTAAAACCAACGGCCAAAAGCCTTCTGCACCTTCTCAGGACCCCTTATATAAAGGTACGTCCACCCATGGAGATAGTTTCCAAAACGATTCAGGCACATATTGGTCTGAAGATATTTTCCAATCCAAAACCCTAAACAAGGCAACTTCTTATTGATTCCGGTTAGGGGATGCAGAGAGATGAGAGGAGATTCGCGGCTGTCTAAATGTGGACGGTATTCAAAACCCATCGCCGGCAGGAATTGCCACCGCAAACACGTTGAAGACGGGTGAAACCTGCAGTCGCAGTCGCAGACGGTAATTTTGGTAATTTTTTTGATTTCTACAACTGCACAAGTGATCTAACGTAGAGATGGAGATGGTGAAGGATGGATACAACGGCATACTGCACGGGAAGTATGAGCTTGGAAGGCAATTAGGGCACGGAACGTTTGCGAAAGTTTATCTCGCACGGAATTTGCATTCCGGCAAGAACGCAGCGATGAAGGTGGTTGGGAAGGAGAAGGTGATAAAGGCCGGGATGATGGATCAAATTAAACGAGAGATTTCGGTGATGAAGATGGTACGTCACCCGAACATCGTCGAGCTTTACGAGGTCATGGCCAGTAAATCCAAGATTTATTTCGCCATGGAGCTCGTTAGGGGCGGTGAATTGTTCTCGAAGATTGAGAAAGGGAGGCTACGCGAGGACGTTGCGAGGGGTTATTTTCAGCAGCTAATTTCCGCTGTCGATTTTTGTCACAGTCGAGGTGTATATCACCGAGATCTGAAACCGGAAAATCTACTCCTGGACGAGGAAGGGAATTTGAAGGTGACTGATTTCGGGCTCAGTGCGTTTTCCGATCATCTTCGGCAGGATGGACTGTTACACACTACATGCGGAACTCCAGCTTACGTCGCACCGGAAGTTATCGGCAAAAAAGGATACGTTGGAGCGAAGGCGGATATCTGGTCCTGTGGAGTCATCCTCTACGTCCTTCTCGCCGGATTCTTACCTTTTCAGGACGATAACATCGTCGCGATGTACCGGAAGATTTATCGAGGAGATTTTAGGTGTCCGCCATGGTTCTCATCGGACGCTCGCCGACTAATCACGAAATTGCTCGATCCGAATCCGGATTGTCGATACACAATCTCCAAAATAATGGAATCCTCCTGGTTCAAGAAGGCAGCCCCAAAGAACCCCCAATTCATATTGGAAGACGACAACGTAAATCTGAAAGGCAAGGAAACCGAAACTTTGAATGCGTTTCACATAATTTCACTATCGGAAGGTTTCGATCTATCGCCATTGTTCGAGGAGAAGAAAAGAGAGGAAAAACAAGAGATCAGATTCGCGACGACGAAGCCGGCGGAGGTGGTGGTATCGAAGCTAGAAGCGATGGCTAAGGCGATGAAGTTCAGTGTCAAGAAGAATGGAGACGGGAGCAGTTTGAGGTTACAGGCACATGAAATGGGAAGGAAAGGGAAGTTAGAAATAGCAGCAGATATCTGGGGGGTGGCGCCGTCGTTGTTGGTGGTGGTGGAGGTGAAGAAATCAAGCGGCGACACCCTGGAGTACAACCAGTTCTGCCATAAGGAGCTCCGACCGGCGCTTAAGGATATCGTCTGGACATCGCCGGCCGATCAATCCCCTCCAGTGTAGTTACTTTTGTATATTAAATTTGGATTTTATTGCTTTTTTTAATGATTTCCAAATTATTAGAGTAAATTACGTTTTTGGTCCGTGTGGTTTACCAAAACTCCGTTTATCGTCTTTCAACTTCACTAAATACACTCGTGTCCTTGTGGTTTGCATTTTGTTTTGGTTTGGAGATCTGGTCGTTAGATCCGTTAAACGTTGTTGTAAAATGCCATCACGTGTGAGGGTATATTGGTCATTTTGATTACGTGTTCTTAATAAATAAAAAGTTAATACATAACTCTTTAAAACATATGTACAAGTTTTAACGCACTGGAAAACAAACCCTTAACGACGTCGAAAGCCACCACGACTGGTGAAGGGGTTCTTCTCAGCCGAATGAAAACAACATCAAAGACATCTTCTCCGGCGACACGAATACCTCTTGCTCTTTCTTTGTTTCTCCCCTAAAGGGGCAAACATACTCCATTATGAGTGGAGGCCTCGATGAAACGAAAATTTAAAGCAAATTATACTTTTAGGTGGCGTTTGGTTCACAGAATGTTTTTGGATAGAATGGAATCTGTTAAAGGAATTTGACTTCGAAGGAATTGGAGTGACATGTTGTCATGTTTGACCACCTGTTTGGTTGGCAGACATTGGAATGTAATCTGTTAAGGAATTGGAATCTTTCTGATTGGTTCACAGAATGTGGCTTTAGAATTGAAATAAAATTTTGGTAAATGACCAAAATGCCGTTTTTTGAAAATTTTAATTTTTTAAAACTAAAAATACTTTAATAAAATAATTTTTTAATATAGTCGGTGATGGTGGTCGACAGTATTTCAGAGTGGTGGTAGTTGGTGGTGGTGGTTGACGGTGGTTCAGATCGGTGGTAGTCGACGATGGTTCAGATTGGTGTTAGTCGGTGGTGGTGGTGGTGGTGGTGGTGGTGGTGGTCAGCGTGATTTAGATCGGTGGTGGTCCATGGTGGTTCAGATGGTGGTTATCGGCGGTGGTTCAGATTGACGGTGAATCAGATCAGTGGTGGCTCAGATTGGCGGTGGTTCGGATCGGTGGTAGTCGATGGTGGTGGTCGGCGATGGTTCAGATCAATGGTGGTTGGCGATGGTTCAGATCAATAGTGGTCGGCGGTGGTTCAGATCGGTGGTAATCGGTGGTGGTTCAGATCGGTGGTAGTCGGTAGTGGTGATCGGCGATGGTTCAGATCAATAGTGGTCGAGAGGTGGTCGACGATGGTCATCTTGAGTTTTATGAGATTATAATATATTAGGTTAAGTGCATATTTGGTATAATGAAGATAAATATTCCATTTCATCAAAATACCATGTAGTTGCTAAGGAATGTTAAAATCCTTTATCCATATAATTCATAGGAATATGAAAATTCCTTCCGCTAAAAAGAATGAATCAAACGAAGGAAATGAATCTAATCAAAGGAATTCAACATTCCAATTCCTTCAGATTCCTCCAGAATCTGGGAACCAAACACCACCTTAGAGTTTCTGTTTATTAACATCAGGCCCTCATTTTTGGGTTCGAGAGTTTCTGACGATCAATAAACTCATATACAAGTAAAATAGATAAAATAACAGTATAATATATTATTTGGTTTAACCAAAGTAGTAAAAACGACCAACAAATGAACCGTTTGAGACCATTTTAAGAGGAAAGACTAAAAATATATGAGGTGCATGTGACCCTACTTCACCGTTACTTCTAATAGTTGTTAGACCCAACCAGATACCTAAACTAAAATAAAATGCAAATCATTATGGTTTCCATTCACGAGGCTAATCTCATATCATATGTGGTTGTCGTTATTAGAGGTGAAAACAACGACGAACTGTATATAAACCATAAGAACGGAAAAAAACAGTTTACTTATATATATATATATAGAGAGAGAGAGAGAGACTTGGGATCATGTGAGACCATTTACAATCTGAATATTCATAATCACAAAATTGTCACGTGATTTCTCAATAATCACAAAATTGTCACCATACAACTTTAGACCATTAGATCATTAGTTTATAAAGTTGATCAATGAACATAAATTGGTCTTATGGGTCTCATGAAAAACCCTTGGTCTCACGTGAATCTATATATATATATATATATATATATCTTTTTTTTATTGGAATACAATATTTTCTAAAAGTAAGCAAAGCTTCTTTACATTTAATATATAAGTTACTTAAACAATTAAATAATATTAAAAAAAACCAACCACTTTTTTGTTAATGTTATATATGAATATGACCACGTTTATACCATGAACACCAAAATGGACCACTTGTTTGACTGTTTTGTCGGGTTCGAATCAAGTATCGGTTGATGAACATGAATAATTCATGTCAAGTCTTTAATTCAAGATGTAAATACATTTTATTGGAACTGATATCAGACTTTTCTATCTTGAAACTCGAGCCTGAGTTGTCCGGGCTAGCTCGCCAACGTGAACCTGACTTGTTCAATTAAGATTGGCATGACCTGCATATCATAGACGGACCTAGAGGGGTGGTTAGGTGGCACGTGCAACCGTATTGTTCCTCCGTGGTAAGGTAAAAAAAATTAGGTTCGTGAAAGGTGCAACCGTTTTATATGGTGCCACCGTATCCAAAAATTCTTGGGTTCATTCCTTGAGTACGTATGCGGCCTTACCTATATCTAAAGCCAATTTTAAAACACTTGACGTTGAAAGAAACTCTATATATGAGTACAATGAATATTAAACTAACGAAGGGTTCAAAAAATAACATGCTTCAAATACGAGACTATGAGAATACCATGAAATGTGGTGAAAAGGTATAACAAAATGGGTGTCAAATAAAAGAGAATAAAACACTCGATTTTCTTATAATTTTAGATTGGTCTTGATACCTGAAATAAATTACGAGAAATTCAGAAAAGGACAAATCACAAGTAATCTATACTATCTTATTAAGCAAATTCATCAAAAGTCTTAAAATTCTAAATGACCAAGATACTCTTTTCACTTTTTCACACATTCCTCTCCTCACATACATTCACCCCTCACATACATTCACCTCTCACATACATTCACCTCTCACATTCAACGGATTTTTTTTAAAATTATAATTTTAAATTTATATTTTATATCTCTATAATTAGTTAATTAATTATTTTACGTTATTTACTTTTAAATTTTTCATTTTAAACATTTATCAAATTAACATACATAATCGTATATCAAATAAAACATGTTTAAAAAA